CCCCCCCACACACACACACTAAATAACTATAAAAAGGCATTTTGCCACAGATAACACAGAAATATTGTCGAGATTGAGCAGTTTAGATGTATCACCAAAGTATGGACATGACAAATAATAGTCCCTGAACTATTTATTATCCATAATCAATCCCAGGGTAATCATGGACTCAGACGAGCGAAGGAAGGGAACATGGACGTCAGAGACAGACCATATTATTTAATATGAATACATATCTTAAGCTACTAATCATAGACCTATTTATAGATGGTTTGAAAAAAACAAACCTTTCCAATAGCAAACGAGGCGCCAGACAATGACTGAGATGTTTTCTTAATTCGTCCGTCAGTGTCTGCTTAAAGTCTCCAATAGTTTATGTTTGTACGCGTTATCAGTTTGTAATTACGTTAACCAATGTTAGACAGAACATACATTGACTGCCATGTCTCATCAGTCATGTGTCTTGGTGGTGAAAGTCTTTACAAGGAGAAATCTAGGAGCCGAACACAGTTCTGTAGGTAATTTACTATTTATGCCTCAACCACTTCTTTGAGTAAATATTAGATTTTTAAAAATTGAGACAGGTGCAAATGGTCAAGTGTGAGTTTAACGGCCTTTCAAATACAACACTGTTATTCTTGTCGACGTCACCTTCATCTTCGATAGCACCACAGTATGTAGACACGGAGCCATTTTTATAATTCTAGCAGCCCAGGAGCACTCTGTTTTGGGTTTATCACCGGACTAACCAAGTTTGAAACGGATTTTACTGACGGTAAAATACGTTTCAAGAGTAGTTTTTGCTCGTTTATTTTTTATTTGTTTGTTTTTTTTGGAAAGGGGGGGGGGAGTGACACCGAAATGATTTGGGTTTTTTAAATTCTTTTCCCCTGGAATAAACAAGAGTATTTTATACTCTGTAAAACCCTCTTCAATCCAGGCTAATCCTTTGAGAAATCCCAAAGGGACAGTTGCATAATTATCATCCTGCCACATGCAGCTGTCGTGATTTTAAATAAAGCGCCATTGGCTGTTCATACTAGTAAACCGTTTCATACACACCGTCAGGACATACAGTGTTGCCTCCGATAGTATTTAAACATTTTATCGCTTCTGAAAATCACCCTTGGGCAGCTTGTCTGACCTTGAGGCAAGAAAGGAAACTCTATAAACGTCGAAGTAGGGTGTCCCAACGTGGTCGTCAAATGCTGATGCCAAACTAATAGTAAAACTAGAGTGGAGCAGGACAAGAAAGAAAAACCATTAATGGGAGGCCTTACCTTCTGTTGAAGGCTTGAAATAACTGGGCAGCATGCAGGCAATAGCAGTAGCACCGATCTTCTGAGCGTGTTGGGCCTGACACAAAGGGCAAATCAGAATGGTTTTGGTGGTATTGGTAGTATTCATAAAACTTCTACTTGTCCAAATTAGGACATCCCATAATATGCATAATACTAAAGCAATTTTCGATTTAAGATATGTCGGTCACTACACCCACTAGTGGCGTAGTGGTTAAGCTACCCGACTCACTCGTAATCGGGAGGTTGCGATTTCGGGGGTCCGAGCCGTGGGCCGACGTTGTGTCCTTGCACTTTACAGAAATTTTCCTCACTTCACACAGGTGGGAATGGGTACCCCGCCTTAGACAGCGAAAGATCTTGTCAGTATATTAGTGTTTAGCGCCTATAAATGGCTGCTTGCACTGTATGCTTCCCAGGAAGTTGAGATTGTTTCAGAATGCTCTCAGGTCTGCTGGAGTAATAGTAGATCTATAGATTGTGAAGCGCATAGAGCTTGCTGTTGAGCGGGGATTTGCGCTATACAAATGCTATCTAGTAGTAGTAGTAGTAGTAGTAGTAGTAGTAGTAGTAGTAGTAGTAGTAGTA